CAAATCCACCAATCGATGAGAAGAATGCCACCATCCCAGTTACCATGTTGATTCGGGTAAAAACTAGTGAGGATGCAGATGAGTTGCACAAAATTATACTGGAGAAAAAGGATGCCTGAACACATGAAGCTCGCTGAGGAATTATTGCCAAGTTGCTGCTTACCCCATCGCCCCTTAAATTAGTCAGTTTTTCTTCTCACTTTGACATTCTAAGAACTTATAGATAACTAAAAACTTTTGTGAGGAAGATTAATATGGCCAATAAAACCTTTAAGTGTTTAGTGTCAAGAAACTGTAATCGCCCTTCTTAAGAACTGTCTAATGTGTAAAATACATTTGAATGAAATTTTTTGGAAGATTTTTTAATGTTCGTTTGTTTATTAAACTAACCATAAGTGATTTCCTAATGGACTGAAATCAGGGTACCAATTAGCTTTCCCAAAGGCTATTCCAATCCATGGTTGTTAGGGTCTGCTGCCACCACCGTGGCAGTGTCCTGGCTGTATCTGGAAAGAAACTTGCCTGTATGGTTCTTCTCTCCTGTGTGCTTGACTGATTTGTGAAACTAGCGCTCTTACCAAATGAACCGTGCTGCCATGCTGTGACAGATGTTTGTCCTTTGCTGTATGTTATTAACTTTTATTTTTAAGCTGAAATGTGAGTACTAAATGTTCACCTTCAGCATTAGAGTCATTAGCCTGTTATTTGCAGACATTGCGTTAACCATTTTAAGAGGAAATCAGTAACTTGTGGAGTAAGTAGCTCTTTGCTTTTGTAGATTTGCTTTTATACTTTTTCTTCATGAGGTGCTGTTACTTCTTTATCCTCCTAAAGACAATTAGGATATAGAGGGATTGCCAGGAATGGGTTTTAAAAGCACAAATTTGGTAGTTCATGGTTTCTAGACCATGACGGTAAACCCTTATGAAAAGAAAGTTAAGTCAAAGTAGAACCGTACTAGAAGAGGAGGGTATGATGCTTGTAGTCATTTCTAAGATGATGAACTCCATGGATATAAAAACAGTTTATTACTTAAATACACAGGAGCTTTGATTACACATGAGCCAAGTGAATTCACTAGGAAACCTGTAACAAGGTGTAATGGAAAAGAAAATTGTGTGTCTATTTTGCCTTTAACTTTAGACAACAGTATATTATACATTCAATATCTGAAATATCCATTTACTTTTTTAAGAATAAGATATTCAGTATGTCCATTTGGAAGGGAGCTGTGATTATGCACAAGAATATCCATGTCACTTCTCCAGAGCTGTCAGGTAACTAACACTAGCGTCCTCTGAAGACTGGACACACGATAGATGCAAGATTTAATGTTTAAATTTCTACTTTGATTCCTCATGAATTGATCCTGGTACCAGATGATCTTGTTTAAAGGCTCAGGGTCAGTGCCCAAGGGCTCACATTTGTATATTCTGATCTTCAGCACATAATGTATTCTGACTTAGAATAGTCAAAATAGGGCCGGCCGGGTGGCACACTCGGTAGAGTGCGGCGCGGTCCGCTCACTGGTTGAGCGGGGTGCGGGCGTGACACCGAGGGTTGCGATCCTGTTACCGGTCACGAAAAATGACAAAAAGGAAAAAAAAAAAGAATAGTCAAAATAATTGTGGTTGGTACAGTTGCTTTTTT